GCACCCGCACCTCGCTCAGCCAGTGAGCGGGAACCGGTCTGTATGTGGGATCCGAACCCTCGGCGGGAGCGGCGCCGCGCTCCCAAGCGGCGCACTGTAGCAGTGCGCCACCGGGCCGGCCCCAAGGCATTCATTTTGAAGGAAGAGACTCCCAGGGTCTGAAGGGATATTTCTTTGTTGCTTAGGTGCATTTTAATAGACTCAGTGAGAAGTCAAGAGAAAAGGAACCAACTTTAATGAAATATTACAGTCAGGTTGACTTAAATCCAGCATTTTCTAAACCGCTGTATTTATACTCTAATTCTTTCAGATCTTTTTCATTTTTTGCTCAAAGTAAAACCCTTCCATTGAAATATTTGAACCACATTCTCCATAGTCTTTTCCAGGGATGTCCATGTTGACATGGCAAGTGTTTTGGGTTAGTACCCAGACTTGGGGTTGACCCAATGTCTGCTCCATCTTCAGCATATGGGGCTCTCTGAGGCCTCTGTGCCATCCCTCCTGCTGCCCTCTCTGCTTTTTTGGCCTGAGTGTGTGACATCAACTGTGGCTTAATGCTTTCCAGGGTCCTTCCCCGTGTTCCCCAGCCCCAGAGCTGTGAGCATCTCCAAATGACCTGTAATTACACATCCATCATCTGCCTCCCCTCTAGCCTGAGACAGCCTCTGGGTGAGGGCCCTGTTTGGTTTTGTGTTAGGCGTCTTGCTCTGCAACAGAGTCTGGCATCTAGGACGTGTTCAGGAAACAGCTCAGGATTGGACTGAATCCATATCCAGACCTCAGGTCACATGGCTGTCCCCGCCTCTTCCTGCTCCATTCCTGTAGGACACTGGGCATCTTCCCCACCTTCCTCTCCTGGCCACACCCCACCCACGGCCCTCCGAGGATCTGATTCTATAAGACTGATCTAGGTTTGTTTCTTCCCTTCCCTAAATTTCCATTTTGAACCATTTTCAACTGGTTCCTGGTTCTCCTGCCAAAGATTGTTCTTTCCCAGATTGGAGGGCTACTCCCTGTTCTAGCCTGGAGTGCACAGCTCTGGTTTTCTAACCATGGTCCAGAACAGCAAATGCCGTTCTCTAAACCCACCCAGGTAGATAGTTTCCAGGGTCTCTTTTTTTCTCCAAAAGTCACAACCTGAGATTCAAAAGGAGATATGAAAACATCACCCTGGATCCTTTAGTTTTCTTGTTGAGCCTTCAGGACACATTCCACACTCCTGATGACACTGTGAGCTGGCTGTCCTCATGGGTTCACAGGCCTCGCTCCTGAGGCTAGGCATACATCCTAGTGGGTGGGTCTGTGATGCATTCAATTTTGAGTCTCTTTTGGGGGTAGGTATCCAACTAAAAAGCACCCAACAAATATTCCCCTGCCTCTTGCCTGCTAATAGAACTCCACTATGTTAAAGCAGCAAGTGGGGCCCCCTGATCTCAAGGAGGATAAGTCCCACCCCCAGGCCCAGAGGATGGATGGCGATTGGTCTAAAGTTGTAATTCTAATTCCCGTGGACATTTAGTGGTGAAGGTAGACCTGGCTGTGACCAAAGAGATGGGAGGTGGAAGGGGCTGAAGAAAACAGCAGGGCCCCTTCTTCCCCCTGGGTTCCTTTAATACCAACTCCATGGCTAGAACTGTGGCAGCTACCTTGGGACACTTACGGAAAGGCCAAGAGAAA